GAGGGACATGTCCCCGTCAGTTTTGCAACAGATCTAGACAGATGAGGAGGAGGAGGAACGGAGGAGTGAGCATTGTTAACAGTCTGTGGGGAACTGTTTGCGTGCACTGTGGTTTCTAGTCCCTGTGAAATGGAGACGCAGTGATTTGGTTTCCCAGGCCCCTGTTTCTCAGGGCCATACAAAAAAACAAATGAAGACGTTTCAGTCCGTCCTGGTTGCCATTTATAGTCCAGTGGCAGTGTGTTTCTAAGTGGTAGATGGCACCAATGGTGGCACATGGAGAGTGTTCACAGCCATCTGATTGTAAGTGGTGTGGGCATCTCTAAAATAGAAGATAATGCTCAGTCTTGTCAACGATGCAAAACATAGACGCTGTGACCGTGGAGGTGGTTGTCCTCAGAGCCTCAGAGAGCCAGAGGAAACGAAAAGCAGCCGCTCCTTCTGAGCCTGTTTGGCTCAGCTTTGGGATTATTATCTGTGTTATTCGGTATGATTGCACAGACCCGTGCATCGACATGTTTAACATCACAACAGTATTCAGACATGACCAACTTAGCCTAAAGATTCAAAACAAGCATTCCTCTTCCTGGATGTAGCTCCTTTTTCAACATTTCCCACAAACCTATAGCAAGAGGTCATGGCATCAGTGAAGTAGTGTCATTAAAGGATTTTTTTTTTTTTATTTCTTCCTTTTTCTTTGTTAAGGGCCAAGTTCAACTTTAAGCCTTTAATTTGGGCGTAGTAAATGTGGACTGGTAGAGGCAGCTGGCAGCGCAGCGTGCAGGCCAGGCCAGAGGTTCCTGCTGTCGGGCTGCCTGGCTTCCTGAACAGGAGCTTCCATTCAGGCAACATGTGAAGGTCTGAAGACATCATGCAAGGCAGAATCTTCAATCAGCATTGTTAATTTCCCATTTCACCCTCGACTCTAACTAGAGAAAGGTGTTGTGGATTAGTTTCTTGGATGTTTATGTGACTTTGAGTACTTGTACCTTGTCTTGAATACTCTAAATCAGTGGCTCTGATGTACCCTCACATCCATATCAGATGAGTTCACTGACATGGTCTTTCATGGTTTAAATGCATTTCAGTAGTTTTAAAAGTGTATGTTAAGTAACCAAGGCTGTCACCAGAAACTAAAATCATCCGTCAGTGTCTCCTTATTCTACTTGAAATTCTTCAAGTCAAGCTGTCATTGTTTTTTTTGTTTGTTTGTTTTTGTCAGTCAGTGTGCGTTACATTACAGTGTTTCCCATACACTGATTCATGTTCTGCAGCCCACCACAATATCAGCATTAACCGCTCCATATTGACATGTTTTTCTCTATTTAAAATGGGTAAAACATTATTTAATTGTAGAGCTGCATGCAGCGCGTTGATTCGCCCAGCCCCTCTTTGCCCTGCTCTCGCTTTCTCCGTCTATCAGATCACAACTGCCTCAAGCTAAATGAGATTGGCTAGCTAACAAGCCCACCCCACAGTCCCTCCACCTCACTCCCTGCCACTTGGAGACTACTTCAGGAGAAGAGCGGACAGTAGCTCCAGAGACGGAGTATTGAAGGTGCAGAATTTAAGAAGCTGACTCAGTACATGGTCCCTAAAAGAGATGACGGGAGTGCGTTTGGAAATACTCACTTAGAGTTTAAATTCTTAGCACTGGAGCTTACTGTTCATATATTCAGAACACCATATTTGGAGCAGCAGAGCGTATAGTGGGCACTCTGTCTCGGGGGATGGAGTAGCAAATTGAATGTGTGGTTGATTTAACTGTTTGCTAATTCATTTAGAAACAAAACGCTCTGTTTCTTGCAGTAACAGTGCTCTCGTTTTAGTGTAGTGTCAGGTTGGATTAACGAACACACCCTGTTGTAGATGCAGTTCATGCAAAAGAAAGGAACGAGTATTCGGATGTTTGTAACAGCTAAATCTGATTCAAAATAAAAATTGTAATTCCGTTACAGCCCTGTTTGTAGCACTTCTTTTTTCATACATTGAATTGGCAGTGTTAAGGTTAGGTTTGTCAAGTTTGCATTCATACTTACACTCTCAATCAGAACCAAGCAGCAACCTCCAGGGGTGAAAAATGAAGCCAACACAGAAGTGCCCAAAACTGCAGTTCCTCTAATGGCCACTTGAGGCTGGCTCCAGAAGTGAGTCAATCCCCATAGACCCCCATGTTAAAATGCCCAACTTAACAGCGGAAATAAACATGTTTACAGCCTGATACAAAAACGCTTTTGGTCTCTATAGCTAATTTCCTCCTTTCATGACAAACTTGCAAGGGTGAATTTTTATATAACTCACCTGTTTAAATGTTATTAAGGCTTAAAGTTATGCATAATTAATGGCGGGGCCACTTTGAGTGACAGTTTGTCGATGGTGTCCCCAGCTTCTCAGTCAGTTCCACCCCTCGCTCCTCCACAGCACCAGCCCTATGACCAAGTCTGGTCACATCTGGTTCCAACAACCAAGATGGCGACGGCCAAGATGCCGAACTCGAGTCCACAATCCAATGGGTGACGTCACTTAGGCTACATCCATTACTTTTACAGTCTGTGATCATGCGCATTATTTTAAGGTGTTACAACTGACTCCAGCTGACTCAGTGATTTTTGTGTGACACTGAATTTACTGAAGATCACAATAATAACAATTTGTGATTCAATTCACACTTTTATTTTTCTCCTAAACACAGATGTGTGGATATGTTTCTTTTACTGGAATCAGGATTTATAAGATGAGACATTCAATGACCTTTTCATGTCCCCCAGTAGCTGCAGACAACCCCCGATAATGCCCCGTCAATAATGCATTGCTTGCATGGTATTTGTCTGGCTGGTTGCATCATTAGTGTTGTTGTTACTTATGCTAACACGCATAGTTGATACCATCTTAATTATTTGTGGTACAGCATGTAAATCCATGGCACTGTCCAGTCACTATACACAAGGTGTTTCCTCCTACCTTCTTCTATCTCCGTGCCCCACCCTGGTCCCCAAAGTCTGTTTTCTTTCTCCTCTCTCTCCTCTCTTTCTCTCTCCGTCTCTCCTTGTGACAGACATGCACCAGCCCTGTACATTACGTCAATTCCCCTGGACCGGGGTGCCAGCTGTTGATGTCACCCTTGGGTCTTTTTAATTTAGGGATTTCCGCTGGGTGAGATGAGGGGGAGCCCCATGACCTCAGCCCACAGCCACATGAAGAGGCCCACCAGGGCTGAATCAGGTCGGGACAGGGCCTGTACAGGGCAGGGCAGGGTGGGGCCGCTCTGCTGGGGTGTGGGTGAGCGCAGGGACTGGGCACTGCAGGGTGATCTGTGAGCTGTATCTGATCAAGGAGCACTGGTGCACTCGTTGATGTCATGTGAGGAAATGAGCGCTGCGCTAGGGTGTTTTAGGAGCGGTTTGCTCCCCTTTGGACTGCCGTGCGATCTCTCATACCCGTGACAGCATGTCTGTGACTTGCAAACACCGCTGCGATCCCTTGAGCTCTTAAATGCAGCCTTTCAGCAGCTACGAATTTCCTCCCTTTCAGAGGGGATCAAATGTTCCTACCAAAGACTATCTCTCGGTCTTTCAGTGCTCAAGGCTTTGAGTGGGAGTGAACATCCTTACATCCATCCATGTAATTGATTTTGTTGGGTGCCAAAGTTTTTCCTCTTGATATCAACTGTGAACAATTTAGAAAGGAAACGCCTTCATTTAACACATAAAAGCTTCTGACAAGTACAACTGTCTAGATAATTTATTTTTCACTGTTGGTTTTAGTCCAGTCTTTGACATCCTTTGGGTCACATGCTGTAGCTGCGTGTTTTTGGTATGAATGGATGAATATGTGGGATATACTGCAGTATATACACAGCATTGAACTGGACATGGGTCAGTTTTATCTGCCTCTTATTTTCCTTTTTTAACTTTAGTCATAAAACTAAGAATTAAAGGAAAAGTTTGGATTTTCTGAAGTTGGGTTGTATGAGGTACTTTTCCATAGATGGTGTATTATGTACTGTAGATGGCAGTTTGCACGCCCTCAGTTTGGAGAACCAAGTAGGAGTACTGCCAAGGAAGCCAAACAATGTACAAAAATGTAGCAATGTATTTTAGCCACCGAAAAAAATCAATATCAGATCAAGTCTACACTATATTTAGAATATTCTCGCAGCTTTACCTTGCTGTCAGACAGTCCTTTCTTCAAAGCCAGACTCCATTGACAAAAACGGTAATTTTACCATGCAGAACACGGGAGTTGCTGGACTACCACTGCCTCACTTGGTTGGTTGCTTTGTGTTATTTTGTGACTTTGGTGAGCCCGAATTAATCCTTAAAATCACCATAGTCACACAATAACGCAAACAAACTAACTGACTGAGGTCGCAGTAGACCAGCAGCTCCCGTGTTCTGCAAGGTAAAATTACTATTTTTTTCAATGGAATTTGGCTTGAAGAGAGCATACAAGAGCTTCAGTTCCTCATCGGAAATCACTGTCTGACAGCAAGGTCAAGATATTATAAAAATAGTATCCACTTAAACTGATATGAATTTTTCAGGTGGCTAAAATAGGTTTTGCTGCTGGCCATCCACAGCAGTACACTACTTAGCTGCTGTGTCAGTACTTCTGTCTGTCTCCAAACTGGGATCATACTGACTGCCATCTACTGTAGTTAATACACTCAATGTGTACATACAATCCCACTTAAAAAGTCCAAACTATCCCTTTAATGTCATGCTTTGGTAATAATGCAGAAAAGAAGAGAAAGAACAAAGAGATACATCGGTGTGATTAGGTGGAAAGACTCTGTTGCTGTTTGCGTACCTGGGCATTCATTCTTCTTGCACTTCTCATGACAGCTGCACACCCAAAACTCCAGTGCAGTGAGCACTGAAAAAAATGCACTCCCTTTGAACTGAACAAATGATCCCAATAGAGACATCTGCATTGTTTAAAAATTTTATTTTCCTCTTCTGGTATGAGATCATAACCTCTTTCTCTCTTTTGTTTTTCAGTATCACCCTCTGTCTCTGTGCAACACGAGTGAGGATGAACGACAAGAGAGTGACTTCATCACTATTGTCAAACTGGAGCACAGGGTACCCCGCTGTCTGCCGCTGCTCGATAAGGTACAGATCACACACAAACCCGACTGCTGGAGGAAATGTTGCATTGTACGTTTCTGTTAACCACAGATACATTTCTACACTATTATGTAGGATATACTTTTAAAACTGTCTCAACAGTGCTGTGATTAATGTGTGGTTAGGTTTGGGCACAAAAACCTCTTGGTTATGGTCAGAAAAAGATCATGTCCGGACTTAAAATACCCACTTTTGGTGGCAGTCATATCTCATCGATGACCCATCAAAAACAACCGCTTTTCATGCCACTATACCGCCAGGAAACACAGCAATGTCTCGTTAAAAAACAACAGTTACTAGTAGCTTTATCACAGCAGGAAACACTGTGATGTCTTGGTAAAAAATCTACTGCTGTTCAAGGCACTACTCCAACACGAAATGCAATAAAAACAACCACTTTTTTTGCCTCTATACCGACAAGAAACGCTGCAATGTCTTGGTACAAAACAACCACTTCATGTGCCACTATTCCGGCCAAAAACGCAACAGTGTCTCTGTAAAAAACAACCTTTTTTTTGGCACTATCCCTGCTTGAAAACAAGAGCTACGGAGCAACCACATTTTGTGCCCTAAAAGCTGCTGAAAACATGACACGCTAAATCACAACCAGTTTTGTTGAGTTGTTGGTCTTGAAAAGTGGCCTGCAGCTTGGGCAGGCGTCTCGTCTGACAAAGTCAGCTCATATACTACGTCACTTCAGAAACGTTGATATATGTATGAAACGTGTAAAAGTAACTTGTTCATGCTTTGCAGAACGTAAAATGCCAACATTTTCTTTAGGCGATTGAGCTGCACACACACACATACATGCCACAGAAAATGCCTCGTGCATTTTCGTCATTGAACGCTCTGAGAAACTCCCCTCTCTGTGACCCCTTCCCCTCTCAGACACGGCAGCAGACAGATAAACCATCTTGCCATCTTGTCTCCTCTCCAGTACCCCTTCCGCTCTTGGATTCAGACATTAAAGAGAAGATGGTTTTAGAGGGAATTATTTGGCAGGAGCTTAATGTTTTGTTCAGGACGGTGATCTTTCAGAGTGAGGGCTTGGACAGGAGGGGGTGGGCTTAGCTCAGCGCTGCTATGTAGCAAGTGGCAGTGAGCCCTGGCTTTGGATGTAAGGCTTTCAAGCCCCAGCTGTCACTGGTCCGATCCCAGCCAGCCGGCCGGCCGGCCAGCCAGAACCAGACACTCGGCATTCTCCATTTCTGCTTCCCTCTAATATGAACTCAGCCAGAGCTCCATAGATTCCACCCACACTGGTTTAGATGTATGTGCGACTGCAACAGAGTTGACCTAAATCTCCCTTGTGTTTAAGTATTCTACCATACACACTGGCTGGCATATCCTAACTTTAAAGTAGTGTGATTTAAAACTGTTGCTATTTTTTCCTCGTTTTTCAAGTGGTGACAAATTAGCAGGCAGGAGTATAGTTAGGCGACTGCCTTTTTTTAGCCTGTGTTTTCTTTTCCCCTAATTTAAAGCCATGTTTAGGAGCTGCCCGCCGTGGCGACGATGTAGAGACATTCCCACACTTCCCCGCTCCTTTCTTCCTCCTCCTGTTGCTCCTTCAGTGGGAACCAAACCAAGCCGGCCATAAGGGGGGAAGAGGGGTGTCACTCAAGGCTGACTCCAGAAAACAGTTTTGATTAAAGCCGTAATGGCATCACTATGTTGTCCCATAAACAAAACACGGTCTCCCCCTCATGCAGAAGTATCCTTCAACAAAAGACTGTTGCTTCCGAGTGCTTTCTCCCTCCCCGCAGATCGCCTTTGAAATCAGGAGAAGTGAAGGAGGGAGGGGAAGGGGGGTCTTTCTTGTTGTTTTGGTCGTCTGGAAAGTATGTGTTGCAATAAACTCCACTCCAGCCACCTGCATCCTCGCTTCCTCGGCCAGATTCAAAGCTTTTGGTCGTGGTGGATTTATTGGGGATTCATTGTGCAGCTGTTGAGGAGCTCGGCCTTTTGAGGAGGATGAATCAGATGGTTTGGGATGTGCGGTGCCGGGTCAGCCGTGGTCTCTGGATGGGACTTGTTTACAGTTTAGTCTGACTGTAACCCGCCCCGCTGATCTATAGATACTCCGACGGCCACAGAGGGTTCGTGTTGCACCGCGCACACTCAGAATAGACTGTAAACCAAACAAAGTGAAGCTCAAAACCTTGAAGGATAAAGTTTCATTGTTGTCCTTTGTTTTTATTTTGGTTTTTCAGAGGTTCCTATCCTCAGAGGGAGATTCCTCTGCTGATTCACAACGATCTGTGTCGTCTCTCTAATGCTCCTTGTTTTATATAGTATCTCTGAGCAGCTTGGAAAGTTAAAGTTTATCTTTTGGGATGTCTGTGCTACAGCAGGACATCTTCAACAGGGATGTAGCCAAATCTAAGCACAAATACTGTGATGGAAACAGATATTTATTCTACCTGAAGTTGCTTGTTAGCATTCAGGGAAAGAATGACGTTTGTGCATCATTAAATTGATTTCTGTCAATGTGGATGACCACAAGATAAAAATAACCTGTTTGCAACATAGGACTCTGATTTCACGAACTAGAAGTTTCATTATGAAAAAGTGATTTTGATATTCTGACCATCCCTGAGTCAGGGCAGAGCAGGCTGAGGGTGTATTAGAAGGAGGAGGAGGAGGAGGAGGAGGAGGAGGAGGCGGCATCAGGTGCTGGAGTAGCGAGACAAAAGCCTGGTGTGGTGGAAGGATTCTTTCAAACCCCAGCAAGTTATACATGAAAATGAAGCTTTGAACCTGTTGTTTTCAGCAGTATGTGTTAATTTCCTGGTTTCCTGGTGTACTCAGGAGCGTTAGGAGGATTTTAGGACATTGGGGGCATAGCCTGGATCTCTGTTGGGTTGTCCAGGGGCTCCTCCACTGGCATTTTTTTGATAATCAAGCTCTATTTTTATGCTTTTTAATGCACTCTAGAAGCTTATTTACAGTCAAAGTACAAAAAAATGCCAGTGTGAATTAGAAAATAATTGGGAGCCTCCTGACACCCTATCACAGGCCAGATTTTTGTTTGGCCCACGGCTGTATGTGGAGTATCACTGATCTGATGTGTAGGATTTAGTGGCGTATATCGGTGTGGTTGCAGAACTGAAACTTCCCCCATGTGCCAAGCATGTAGGAGATAAATGGTGGTCGAAGTGAAAACACAGGTGGTCCTATCAGAGCCAGTGTTTGGTTTGTCTCATCTGGGTTTCTGTTAAAACAACATCACCGTTTCCCACAGGAATAGCATCTATGTGTGGTGGTAGCTGACGATGGTAGCTCTGCTTCTCAGCAGTGCTTTACTGACTTTAAATAGCAGGGTGGAGAATTGATCAGTCAGATTGAGGCTGGATCGATCAGAGCTGATCTGATCAGTTGGTTGGGTTGGAGGAGCAGCTGCTATAGAGGCGAGTGAAAGCAAACTTCAGACTCAGCACTGGACAGTGGGGTGTGTAGTTTCCACAGGAACGCAGCCACTTTCATCTAGAGTAGTTTGGGAAAAGATAGAAAACACTAAAATGAAAGCACTGTTGTTCTAGGAAGTAGAGTGTTGCATTTCTGCATGAATTAATCAATTAAGTTTCACTGCGCCTGGCATTCTGCTGCTCCATCTGTGCCCAATGTATGCTCTGTGCTCCGAGAGTGTGGTGCTCTGAATAACCAAACAGCATATATGAGGCCCTGCTCCATATGTAGACGAAACAGCTCATTCATTCTAGGTAACGAAAACACAACGATTCTTATTTTCAGGTGATGATAAACTAAAGAAAACATACTTTTACTATAGTAAATTAAATTTCTGCCAGTATAGCCCTTTAAATTCTACACTTTAAACCGATGAAATTAAAGTCCTGTTAAAAACTAAAACAAAGACCTATTTATTGAACCATTTTGAGTCATTTGTTAATTATTTTTTTTAATCTATATTTAACCAGGTAAGTCCCATTGAAATCAACGTTCTTTGTAATGAGGGGGACCTGGCAATTAAAGGAATAGTGCACCCAAAAATGAAAATTCAACCATTATCTACTCACCCATATGCCGAGGGAGGCCCTGGTGAAGTTTTAGAGTCCTCACATCCCTTGCGGAGATCTGTGTGGGTAGCTGCTAGCACACCTAATGGCAGATGGCGCCCCAGACTAACTTCCAAGAACACAAAATTGAATCCACAAAGTATCTCCATACTGCTCATCCGTAGTGATCCAAGTGTGCTGCAGCCGCGTCATAAAAAGTTGTTTCGAAAAACGTCATATGAACTCTGTTTTTAACCTCACTGTAGCCTGTAGCTCTAACTGCTTCTCTGTGCTCCTCGTTCACGTGTGCGCGCCTGCGCGAGACCAGGGAAAGCATGAGCTTTGCTCACCCGTGTTTACATCAAGTGACACGTGCACCGCAGGGAGAGACAACGTAACCACAGTAGCTAAAAGATAATTTGCACTACGGTCTTTCAGCAAAGGACAGCCCAACATGTCTGAAGACTTTGAAATTGAGGAGGAACAGCATTTCTTTGTTGAGCCGTATTTGTTTGAGCCCGAGTATACGGACGGAACTCAGGCTACTGGACGAAGCAGCCACCGCAGCTCATGAGCCTTACCCTCAGCCAGCCACAGAATACCGGAGTCGAGCACTGGAAACCTGGTGGTGTAGTTGTTTCAAATGCAAAGCAATGCCAACGGATGAGGAAAGTCTTTGCTGCTCAGACTGGGAATTGGCGATGCCTGCACTTGAGAATCTGGACATCAGTACTGATGAGACTGCTGCTCTTCAGAGACCGTGCATCACCGATCACCTTGAACGCGCACACGTGAGCGCGGAGCACAGAGAAGCAGTCAGAGTTACAGGCTACATTGAGGCTAAAAACAGAGTTCATATGACGTTTTTCGAAACAACTTTTTATGTCGGGGCTGCAGCACACTTGGATCACTACAGATGAGCAGTATGGAGATACTTTGTGGATTCAATTTTGTGTTCCCGGACGTTAG